GGGCCGGGGCCGGGGCCGGGCTTGGGCGGCGGGTCGGAGCCGGGGGTCGGCGGCGAGGTCGGCGGTCCGGCCGGTCGGCGCGGGCGTCGGTCCGCGGCTCCGGGAGGCGCGGTTGGAGCCCCGCGGCCGCCGGGGCGCGCGCGCTGCCCGCATGGCCGCCATCAAGGCGCTGCAGCAGTGGTGCCGGCAGCAGTGCGAGGGCTACCGCGACGTGAGCATCACCAACATGACCACGTCGTTCCGCGACGGCCTGGCCTTCTGCGCCATCCTGCACCGCCACCGGCCCGACCTCCTGTGAGTGCACCTCGGGCGGGGAAGCTGAGCCCCAGGCTGCTGGCGCCGGGGAGCGCGGGTGGGGGAGGGCGCGCGGAGCGGGGTCCTGCGGGCATGACCCGCCCGGTGGCCTCAGTTCGCCCGTCCACCAAGCGGAGCTGGGCCGGAGCCAGCCCTGCCGGCCGCCCCCGCTGACTTAGTCAGTCCGTGAGTCAGGCCGGCGTCCGGGCTCCGGCCACAGCCACTCCTCCCCGCGCGTCTCCCTGGGAAAGGGCCGGCGGGGCTACCCTTCTGCGCCGCCTGAGAGCCCCGCGGCCCCAGGGACCACTCACCACAGCAGGGGGTGGGTTAGTCGGAGCTTCAAGGGCGCTATGCCCTTGACCCTGCCCCAGCAGGTCCAGGCACCTTTGGGAATGCAGCCCAGGGGCGCCGTGGGGGAGGGGCCGACGCAGAGCTGGAAGCCCCAGACTTCCCCTGGTCTTGCGGGCAGGCCTGCCGGGGCACCCCAGGGTGACAGGGTATGAGATGGGGGCTGAGCTCCCATCCCCCGGAACCAAGGCACGTGGGCAGGGGAGAGGACTAGGGCGACTCCCCAGGGAGGGTCTTGGAGTGGTGGCTGGCACTTGTTGCTGGACCTTGTCCCCACCTGGGACCCACTCCACCAGTTATTCACTCAGCAAACGCTCCGGCTGGGCGGCTGGGACCTGGCTTGCTGGGACAGAGCTGTCCTCAGAAAGCCACCTGCCTCCTGGAAACAAATGTTTAAAAGCATTCTGAGAAGTCGTGGCTCGTTCCAGGGGTGGCTTGGGGTGCGCGTTTGCCAGGGAGGTCTCAGGGTTGCGAGGGGCCAGAGGCAGCTCCTCAGTGAGGCCTCTCTCTGTACAGATAGGGAAACTGAGACCCAGAGACGAGGCACCCTTGTTCAGGTCTCAGAGCACATCTGCAGAGCCAAGGCTGCCACTTGGGGCTCCTCCCCCTCACCCAGCTGTAACCTGTAGTCCCAGGCACTCTACCGGGAAGCTGGTCTTGAGAAAGAGGCCTGCACGTATTTCCTCCTCCTGCCCAAGGTTGTGAAAGACATTTGTGGAGCTTCATGGGGAGTCGCCCCATGTGGTACTTGGGCAGCAGTGTGTGCCCCCTGCCCAGGGATGTGCCTGGAGGCAGAAGACGTTGGGCAGTGAACACCCTAAGCTGAGCTTTGATGGGGAGGTGGGCTGGGGATGGGACCAGGAGAGGAGGTGGACAGGCCGAGCCCCCCTCCCCCCGCGCCCCGGGTGCGGGCAGGTCCCTGGTGAGGCTGGCTGGGGACTGAGCCCAGGCAGCCTGGAGGTCCGCACAAGTCTGCAATTGTAGGGAAGTAAGGTACGCCCGTCTGCTGGCCGGGAGCCTTGGGACCACATCACGGGTCTAGCTGGAGAGTTGGGGCTTTTCGGAGCCCCTGGAGCTTCTGTCTGCTTCTAGCAGTGCTGGTTCAGACGCCCGTGTGTGTGTGTGTGTGTGTGTGTGTGTGTGTGTGTGCGCGCGCGCGCGGGGCACTTGAGCCTGTCCCAGCATGCACTGCCTGAGCATGAGCACAGGCTCGTGCACGTGGGTGTGTACCACGCTGGCACAGGCAGGCGTCATATAACTGTTCATTTAACCGTTAATGAGTTTCTGCTCTGTACCCTGCACTGCAGACTGAATACAGTGGACTTGGCCCCTGCCTCAGGGAGTGGCATTGAGGGCGTCTGGTAATCTCAGTTACTGCTGCCTTGGTTAATGTCCGTCTGTCCCCACCGGGCTTTTAGTTCCAGAAGGGTGGGATGTCTTTTTTGTTCACCGCTTATCCTCAGTGCCTGGAACTGTACCTGGCACGACAGGTGTGTGGTGGGTATGAGCACATAGTTGGTACAGACCGAGCTATTACGGTTGAGGGCTTGCACTTGGGACTCTGTAGATACAGTAAGAGTTTGGCTGGTGTCCTGGCAAGGTGGGGGCCCTGCAGGTCCCTGTGTGCAGGAGGGAGGGGAGGAGGCCGGGGGTGCAGGCAGGGGGGTAGCAGTAAAGAAGAGGTGCCGGGTGCCGCCCTCCTAGGGTCGCCTCCAAGGCCGGACTGAGGGCGACCCCCCCCACTCCCATGCTCCCCATCCTTCGGAGACCCTCTGGGCGGCAGCTGACTTTGCCACCAGGAAGTCCTTCCCTGCGCCTCATGTCCAGCCTTCCTGCTGCACAGAAGCTGCTTCCTCCCTGCTGCCTCCTCGGGAGCAGCTGTGAAGGAGCCGGGCGCCCAGCCAGACAGGTGGCGATTGTGCTGCCCTGACGCTAAGTCCGCTTCTGCTTCTGCCTCCGCCCATGAGATCGTGCGGCCCTGGTCCGGGAGGCACGTGTGACCTGCGGTGGCCCCGCGGGGACACCAGGAGGCGAGCATGGGTTGGGGGGTGGGCCCACCCAGCGAGGCCCCACTGGGAGTTATCCGGGCAGCACCAGCCCGGGCCCCTGGGGTCTCTCATATCGGCCTCAAGGGAGCCCGCTGCTCTGCCCTCGGGTCTGTTTCCCTGGCTATGCCGACCTCTGCCCAGCAGGCAGGTGAGCGCAGGAGCTGCCCAGGACAAACAGCCCCCTTCCCACCTCGGGGCAGAAAACCTGTAAGGGCTGGGCTCCTGCCCTTTCTGGGCTGACCAGAGGGGGCTGAGGGCTTCAGGGGACAGGCAGGAGGCAGGGGTGGCAGCTCCCGCCAGGGAGGAGGGGCAGGAGCCCTTCCGGGCAGCAGGCACAGGGCTTCCGTGGGCTCCTCCTCCTGGGCCGTCTGTAGGGGGAGCGGACAGACCAGGCCGGTGTGTCAACAAGGCCGGTGGGGGCGGTGGGGGGGGGGGGGGGGGGGGGGGGGGGGGGGGGTTCCTGCTGCACACTCGCTGGGCCTCCCAGACCCTCAGGCCCACGGGGAGGGGCACCTGGTCTTTCTCCAGGTCCCTCCAGCCTGGGAGGCCGATGTCAGGTGTCAGGGCTGGGGCACAGCAGGGGCTGGGGGCTCTGCCCCTTGGCCATGGCAGGGCTCCCTGAGAACCGCATGCAGCCCGGAGTCAGGAGAGGCCCCCCACGCAGACGCTCGGAGACACCACTGTTTCTCTTCCTGGCCCGGAGCGGAGGGTGGGCTGGGCCCAGGCGGCCGAGCTGGCCTCTCCTCCCACGCCGGCCTCTTGGCCAGCAGGAAGCCTCCTGGGGACAGAGGCCTTCTGTTCCCCAGCCTGAGGGCCTGCTTCCCGGGTCCCCGCCACCGCCTTCCGGCCAGACTCTCCAGAATGGACACAGCAGGGGCTGCGGGCACCCTGTGATGCCCCACTCAGGCCACCGCAGAAGCCCCAGGGCTGACTCTCTCGGATGGGCCAAGGTTGGGGGTCAGGGTTTGCTCCGGCCTGGCAGTGAGACTGAGGTGTCTGACTTGCCCACTAGGAGCAAGGAGGGTGGGGCCTGGACCCTGCACCCACCCCAGACCTTCTCCCTGGGGCCTTGGTACCTCGTCATGTCCCATGTCTCCCCGGGCTGTGCACTCTATCGCAAGGTCTGTGCTAGGCGTCTCCCTCCCCACTGCCGTGTGGCTTCTGTCTTGTCTCTGTCCCTCTCCATCTCTGTGGAGACAGACACATCTCTGAGATGTGTCTCCCCTCTTCCTGTCTGCTCCCCTTCCCACTGGGATTAATTCCAGATGTGCTGAGGGTGCCTGGAAAAGGCACCTTCCCAGCCCAGCGCCCACCCCCCACGTGGTTGCGTTTTGTTCCAGGAAATAAACAGCGTGAGGTCAGCTCTCCAGGAATTTGGAAGGGGGTACACATTCCCAAGAGCCCCAAAAGCCCGGAGGCAGGAGGCTGGCTGTCTCAGCAGTGGTGGGTCAACAGTGTTGGTCAGCCGTGGCCAGGGGAGGGCCCGTGCCTCAGGCTCTCTGGGCCACACCAGGCCAGGCCAGGGCTGGACGCATGCTGGCACCTGGCACACGGCCGACAGGTCAGCGTTTACACGATGCCCACATAGACCCAATGGGTGCGTTCACTGGCTCACGTTGAAAGAATAGACGCCTCAAAAGTCCCCTCGCTTGGCAAGCATTGGAAGAACTCATTCATCAGAGAGCATTTATAGTGCACCAGCTGGATGCAGGTACCTTGGAGTTTTACCAGAAAGAACCTGAATTCAAATTACAGGAGTTTGACTAAAACATGATCTAACTTGGGGAGTGCCCTGGGCCGCAGCCGCCTCGCCGAGGGCCAGCGAGGGCGAAGCTCGTGCATGCTGGTCCAACAAGGCCTTGCACACAGATTGGCCGCCTTCCGGAGGGTTGGCCAAAGCTGGGCTGTCCGTCTGTCAGGCCTGCCCTAGGAGGCTGAGTCAGGTGCCCGAGGGCAGCCTCCTCCTGAGGCTCCAGGCCTCTCCCCCTTGGCTGTGGACGGCCATTGTCTCCCCTTTGTGCGTGTCTGTGTCCTGATTTCCCTTTTTATAAGGACGCCAGCCATTTTGGATAGGGCCCACCCTCCTGACCTCATTTTAACTGGATTCTGTCTATAAAGAAGACCCTGCTTCCAAAGAAGGTCACATTTTGAGGTTCTGGAGATTAAGACTCCAACAGATCATTTTGGGTGGGGGGCACGGTTCAGCCCTCCTCAAGAAGAGTCCTCCCCCCCACCCCCCATGGCGGAAAGCTGGTCACACCGGGCTTCCTGAGAGGGATGGGTGTGGTCTCTACTTGGCTCTCTCTGAAGGGGTTTGCAAGGCAGCTCAGTCCAGAGATTTCTGCCAGTGCGCCGGCCCCAGAGCTCCTGGCCAGGCAGCCTCAGGGACAAAGGCGATGCCGGCTGAACCCCATGCTGCGGGGGATGTGAGCTCATGGGGCCGCCAGCCAGAGGCAGAGAAGTGTCCACTCAGGGACCTGCGGGGTGCCCGCAGGGAGGGACCCCGGTGGGGTGTGTCAGGCAGGGAAACTGTGTTCCAGCCGCCCGGAACAGCGTGAGCCAAGCTTGGGAGGCTGGGAGGGCAGGACCCTCCATAGAGAGCTTGGTTCAGGAGGGGTGTGAAAGCCATGAGACTGGCCAGGGTGGTCCAGCCCCACTGTGGAGGCCTTGAGGGCCCAGGGAAGCGGCTGGGACAGGGTCCTGAGGGTGGTGGCCCTTGAACTTGAGTGGGAAGGCAATTCTTTCTGCAGCTTCAGACCCGCACCCCCTTGACCTGCTCAGCGGGGGCTGGCACCACTATTGTGGGCACCGGGACCTGCCTGGAGCGCTGAGATGCTCCCTCAGGGTCCGGGGGAACAGAGGGCCCCCACGACATCTGCCGGATGCAGCCACTGCAGCCCCCTCCCCAAGGCAGATGCAGGGGGCAGGGGACCTCCTTCTCCTGCATGTTTGGAGACAAAACAGAGCTTGTGACCCTGCCCTCCTGCCACAGGGGCATCTTGCTGAGACATGGCCGTTTGGGTCAGTGACCCGGGGCAGGTCTGGAAAAGAGATTGAGCTTTCAAAGGGATGGGGTGGGGGAGGGAGGGAAGCCACTGAGATTGGAGGCCGGGGCCTGCCAAGAACTCCTTGGGGCGATGCATGGAGACGGGCCACTCCACGCGCCATGGACACTGGTGGGACAGACCCAGGGTGAAGTGCTCATGTGGCCTCGATGATGAAGCAGGAGGCTGCCATGCCCGCCCCCTCTGGCCATGTCTATCTGGAGATAGAGATGCCCGCCATCTTGTCCTTGCACAAAAGCACGCTCTGTGCTCACGGGGTGGTCTTAGCATCTGGAACACGTTACCTGGGAGGTGGTCCAAGCGGAAACAGTGAGGTTTCCCCAAAGCCAGCCAGGGTGATGGACGTGGGGCTGGAGGCCGGCAGGGGGGGTCCTCCTAGGAGGGAGGTGGGCCAACGGCAGCCCCGTCCCGTCCCTGCCACGTGGCCCGGGGCCCTGGCCCTGCTCTGTTGGGACCCGCTGCAGCCGGGCCCCCCCAGCCTGCGGTCAGAAGCTGCTGTCCCCCTCTCAGATGGGCACCGTGGCCAGAGAGAGGAGAGGGCTCCCCCAGGGTCCGACGGTGAAGCCTGGCTGAGTTGGGACGCAGATTTCAGCCCGAGCCCTTCCCCACACCACAGGGCTTCCCGAACAATCCAGTGCACACTGAAGGGGCAGAACAGCCATTGAGGACCCCACAGACGGCAGAGAGGACAGACAGATGGGTATCTGAACGGCCCTCCCGGAAACATCAGCCTGCATCTGGCTGAGCCCCTGCTGGGCCTGGCTGTGTTTTCTGCTCTGAGCGACCCTGCAGGGGTGCAGTGGGCTGAGATGTGCCCGTGTGGGTGTGGGCACCGAGTCCCGGGCCAGCCTGGCCCTGGTGCAGGGCTTGCCTGAGTGTCTGAATGTTGCCTTTGCTCTTGGCCTCTCCAGGAAGGCCCACTATCCAGGCTGGGCCAGTGAGCCCATTCGTGGCTGCTGTGTGACCTCACTCCTTCCCAGCTGCCACTCCTGGCCTCGGTTTCCCTATTTCAGCAGGATCACCTCTGAACTGCTTTGGACACCTGTATTTTTGTCTTCCAGAAACTTTGATGCTCTCAGGAAGGAAAACATTTATGAGAACAACAAACTGGTGAGTGCCCCCTGTTCCTGACTCAAAGCTGGCTTGGTGGGCCTGCCCTGTGCCGGCACCCAGGTCCCGTGGACCACCCTCGGGCTCCTCTGGGAACAGCTGTAGTAGTTGCTGCCAGGGCAGATGAGCACATGGAGACCGGAGGCGCGCTGCCGAGTTCCGCAGCCGGTCCTGAGCCGGGTGACCCCAACCTCAGAAATAGCCTCCAGTCTGATGCCCAGGCCCTCCCGGCCCCCTTTTTCCTGCCGGGGAAGGAAGGGGTTGCGAGTAGCTGAGCGGGGTCCAGATGTGGCTCTGGGAGGATGGGGCCCTTGGCTTGGCCCTTCCCCACCCTGGGGGGACCAACCGCCCTGAGCTGGGCTGTCAGACTGGCCGCCAGGGTCTCAAGCACACTGCCTGTGGCCGCTCTCTGCTGGCTGGCCAGGCCCTGCCCTGTCCTCGCCTCAGTTTCTTTGCTGCAGAATTAGCCCCATTATCTCGATGGGCTGACGCCCAGAGGGGCAGGCAGACGCACGCCCTGCGGCCGCGGGTCCAGAGCTGACTTTCCAGCGGGGGTGACGGACGGAGCTCTGCAGGTCAAAGCTGCGTGTCCCATGAGGTCCCTGCTCGCTGGTGGACGATTTCAATTTAAGTGTAACTTAATTAAGAAGAAATAAGATGACAACTTTAATTTCTCGGCAGCACTGTCCACACTTCAAACATTCCCTCCCATTGGACAGCTTGAAATAGAGCTGGTCCATCCTCACAGAAAGTTGTGCTGGGGCACTAGCGCGCGTGTGGGGGAGTGAACACGTGGGGACAACGGAGTGGAGGTGTATGCCGCGGTGGTCTTCATGAGCGGGGCAGGGCAGGCCTCTGCAGTGACAGTGGGGCCCTGTGGACTCTTGGAGGAGGGGCGGCCTGGTGGGGGTACTGCCAGGGGCCAGGGTATCTAGGTGGGTGTGAGTGCAAGCACCTGGCCAGAGTATGAGGGGGGCCCTGGGGCGCGGCCAGAATGGGGGCGTGACCGGAACAGATGGGGGTGCGTGGCTGAACGAGGAGCGAGACCAGATGCATGTGGGCGCACAGAGGAGAGGGGTGTGGCCAGAACGGAGTGGGGACGTGACCGGAACATAGTGGGGTGTGTGGCTGGAATGGATGAGGGCGCGTGCCCAGGACTTGCGAGGGCGCAACCGGAGCGTGGGAGGTAATGAGCGGGGGGAAGATGGGGTGGTTGGAAGACTGAGTGGCGCACCGAGCCGAGCGGGGTGCGGCCCGAACAGAGTGGGGGTGGCCGGAGCAGGGCAAGGGAAGACCCTGGCTCTCCCCACAGCTGGCTGCCTGGGGTCCGGCAGGTCCTGCTGACAGTGGGTGGGTGGTGAGAAGACCATAGTGGCAGCAGGAGGAGTCAGGATTTGGGGTGTATTTTGAAGGGGAGTCTGCTGGGAGATTGGAGGTCTTGACCTGGAGGTGAGGGACATCACCGCTGGCTGGGTTTAGGTCTGGGAGGGCTCAGGAGCCTGCTCGACACCTAATCCAGGTGTCACCCCTGTGACTTTGCAGTGCCACAGCAGTTTAGGGAAGGGTCCAGAGTGGGACTTGAGGGTTGTCAGGTGAGGGATGGGCTCACAGGCAGGAGATGCCAGGCTGGCCAAGGCTGAGACCCACCCCCAGCAACTTCAGGCCCTGTGTGGTCTAATTGCATCCCCATTGTACAGACTGTAACTGAGGTCAGGGAGGTCGGCCTTGAGCAGAACTTTGAACCCAGAGCTGGGCCTGACGGGGTTTCTTGATCTCCTTCCTCTGGAGGAGCTTGGTGGCCTGGCTGAGAGGGAGGGGGATGTCTCCCAGCCCACCCAAGTAAGCTGACTACTCCGACTCCCCACCCAAGGCCTTCTCTCTGTGGTCGAAGGAGCAGTTGGCATCTCCAAAATCTGTTGACGGAGGACATGGTGGGGTTCTGAAGGTGCCCGCCCACCTGCTGAGAGCATCCATTCCACGGTCACAGTACTACAATCAACTACTTCCATGGACGCCTCCCCCCAGCAGCTCTGGGCTGGAGGCCTCTCTGCCAGCTCAAGCACCGCCCTCAGCATTGCCCTCCCGGGCAGGGGCGGGAAGCGGGAAGGCCAGTTCATGGCACCCCTCTTTGGTGCCGCACATGTGGAGCCCCCATGATCCCCATACAGCCTCTCAGGGAGCATCACTGCCCCCTCTGACACTGGCGCGCTGCGTGCTGCAGTGGCTGAGCAAGGGTCCACTCTGTCCTCTCGCCCCACACACCCACTCTGCTCCTCGGCTGAACGATGGAACCCAGATCCTGCCTGTCCTTCCCCTCTGGCCTCGCTCCATCTGCACCCCTGGAGCCTATGCCCACAAATCTTGCCTCAGGCGGGCTTTGGCCGGGATTCCCAGGGTGGGCCTCCCCCGGGCCTGACTCAGAGGCCTCACCGCCTCCCCCCCCCCCCAACCCCCCCACATTTGGCCCACAGACACCAAGGTTAACCCTGGCCGGGTGGGTCCTTCCCTGGCAGGGCCGGGCCTGGGGACTTGATTCTGGCTGCTTTATGCACCCTCTCCAGCTCAGCCCCCCTCCCCTCCCCCACATTCCTCATCCAGCCTTAGAAATCCCTCGAACAATCCTGGGCACAGGACCAGCTCCCCGCCTTGATATTTCCATCACCTGTGGAGAAACAGAAAGTCCCATTTCTCCCTAATCTGATCAGGGCTCTCAGAGCCAGAGGGAGGGCCACTGGTGAGGCCAGGCCCCTGCTGGGAATGTGCACTTGGGGTTGCCAGCTGCCCCTCCCAGGCCTCCCCCCAGAACAGCAGGGCTGCCCTCCCGGCCACCCCCTCTCGCTCTGGGCCCCGTGTTGGGCACTGGCATCTGCAGGGCACCCAGAGCAGGTGGGCCCAGATGACTTTCAGAGCTCGGTCTCTGTAAATGAGTTGCTGTGGGGCATGGTCGGTATCGCTGCCCCTGGCTGGCTCTGGACGAGGAAACCAAGCTCAAGCGAAGGCCCTGCCCCAGCTGGACAGACCTCCTCACCCACGGTGCAGCCCAGGGGTCAGTTTACCACTGTTCTCCACAGCACAAAGCCCGGGCCACTCTTCAGTGTGGAAGGGAGCTGGAGCTCAGAGGGCCCCCATGGAAGACTGTAAGCACCCGCCCTGCCTTCCTTCCTCTGGCTCTTGGGACTGAGTGTGGCCTCTACACCCGGCACCTGGGATGGGGACCCTTGGCCCCTGGCACCTGCCTTAACTGCTGTTTATCAGGAACCCACCGGGAGTGACTCCACGAGCTCCTTCAACCCCTGTGTGGTCGGGATATGATCCCCGTTGTACAGATAGGTAAACTGAGGCCCAGGAAGGTCTAGGTCTGCTCTGAGCAGGGCTAGAACCTTGAACCCAGAACTTTCTGGTTCCTAAGCCGTTTCTGGCCTCCCGGGTGGGTCAGGAAAGAGCCCTGGGTGTGTCCTTCCTGCCTGTCCAGCGCTTTAGGGTGCCCCCCACAGAGGTGTGGGGACAGAGGACAGGACATGTTAGGGTTAAGGCGCCCCCTGCTGTCCCAGGGACTGAGCTGCGCCCCCTGGCCTTTTAAGATTGCTTGGGGGAGGGGGTGGGACGGAGCAGCAGGAGGGCCCGAATCTGTCTCCTGTTCCCCCAGACCCTCGAGGTCAGGTCCCTATAGCCCTTCTCCTTGGGCCGGGCTGCAGACCCTGCACTTGGGAGTCCAGCCGGCCTGGGCATGGGCCATCCTGGCTGCGCCTGGCAGGCAGCTATCCTTGGGGCCTCAGCCCTCTGGTCCAAGCAGCGGGATCTTCTTGCCGCGGATGAGGCAGCTGTCGGGAGGGAGGGCCGGGGCACGCGACCTACGCTGGCCTGGGCTGGGGGCTCAGACGTGTCAGCTGCCCCCTCCACCCCCCGCCCCCCAAGGGCCAGGCCTCGGCGGGCAGCTCCATCAGCAGCACCTGTGGGGTCTGTGGCAAACACGTGCACCTCGTGCAACGACACCTGGCCGACGGGAGGCTCTACCACCGGAACTGCTTCAGGTAGGGCCTGTGCACGTGCACGTGTGTACACGCGCACGTTTGTGAGCCCCTGTGTGCGTGTGTGCTGACAAGCACAGATGCTTCCTGGGTATCTGAGCCCCCAGCAGGATCCTCGCGGGGTCTGTGACTCAGAATGGTCACTGTGCGTGAGGAGGGCTGTCTGCTGGATGAGCAGACGCCGGGCTCCACGAGCGTGCGCTCCCGGCAGAGCGTGTGATGGAGAAGTGCACGTCGGCCCGGAGCCTGCTCACGGGTCCTCCTCTGCCCTGCACCAGGTGTAAGCAGTGCTCCAACACGCTGCACTCGGGGGCCTACAGGGCCACCGCCGAGCCCGGCGTCTTCGTGTGTTCCAGCCACCACCCCGAAGCCACCTCTGCAAGCCCCACGTTGCCACGCTTGGCCCCCCGACAGCCCAGGGCTGTCCCCTCGGACTCCAAGCCGCCCAGAGCCCCATGGAAGGCCCAAGAAGCAAATGGGCACAGAGACACGGGGACAAAGGCCAGGCCAGCGGCCTGGGAGCCTGTGGTGGGCAACTCAACTCCCAAAGGTGTCGCCCCCACTACGACTGAGCCTCGGGCCACCGCCTCCTCCCACGTCCACGCGGGGAGCCCAGCCGGGTCCTCGGTGGGCCCGCCGGGTGGCAAAGCCAACGTGCCCGTGGCCAACAGTTCCCCGAGAGGGTGGTCGTCGCTGGGACAGGACAGGGCAGCAGTCGGCCCCCACCCTGCCGCGACCCCAAGTGCCCCAGACTCTCGCCCAGCCACGCCGCAAGGCCGGGTGACCCCCCAAGGGGCAGCCCCCCGGACCAAGCTCAGGTTGGGCCCAGTGTCTCCGGTCCCGGCAGACACCCCAGACTGGACCCCATCGGCCTCCAGGACACAGCAGGCCCGGGAGAGTTTCTTCCAGACGCCCGCAGCTGCCTCCAGCCCAGCTGGCAGGGCCCCAGCTCCCGCGGATGTGCCTTCTGGGGACGGCGGCAGGGAACAGGCACTGAGCTTCCTGCAGAAGACCCTGCCGGGGCTCAGGGACACCGGCGCTCAGGAGCCTGGCAGGTGGGTGGCGGCAGGGGCGGGGGCAGCCAAGGAGGGTTCCAGGCCTGGCCTGGCTGTAGGACTGACCGTGGGGCTGTGTTCCCCGGCCTCAGTTTCCTCAGCTGGGGAATGGGGAAAATGAGATGGGGCCCAAAGTGCCCGGTGGTCGGCAGGAGGGGGGCGTGCCAGACACACTCTTGGGGGCCGCCACCTGGCACATCCTGAGCCCCACCTGAGGACCCCCGATGGGGAGCCAGAGGCCGTGAGTGGTCCCAGTGTCGAGTCTGGCCTTGGCGGAGCTCGGCCCTCCCGCCCGTGTCGCACGCCGGACGCAGCAGGCTCTGACGGGTCAGACGGTCCCTGTGGTAGTTTCCTGAGGCTGCTGGGACACACACCACACGCTGGGGGCTAAAGCGACACAAAACTGTTCTCTCCCAGTTCCTGAGGCCCGAAGGCTGAACTCCAGGTGGGCGTTCCCCGCGAGGGCCGGCGGGGGAGGGGGGGGGTCCTGCCGCCTCTTCCAGCTCCCGGTGGCCCCAGTTCCCGGCCTGTGGCCACACGCTCCCTCCTGGCCTCCAGGGTCACCTGGCCTTCTTCCCTCTGTGTCTGTCTTCTACTTCTCTGTCTCTTATGAGGACACCCCCACTCTAATCCAGGATGACCTCATCTAAACTTGATTCCATCTGCAAAGGTTCTATTTCCAAATGAGGCCACACTCTGGCCTTCCGAGTAGACCTGAATTTGGGGGGCGACGCCACTCACCACACGACAGTGGCCTAGTGAGTGAGGGGATCGCGTGCCAGGCTGGCTGCTGCCGCTGTGCCCGCCGCCTTGTGCTGCCCCTTGTTTTGGGGGGAGCATTCTGGCCCCTCTGGATCAGCTGGGGGTGCCCAGGGAGGGTGAGTCTGCCCCCCTGCTGCAGGCCGGGGGATGTCCGGGCACCTGGGGGCCAAGGCTGCTTGGCCGTGTGAGGGCTCTGCGTGGGGGACCCCTGGCTGGGTGTCTGCTCCTCCTGGCTGCCCTGGGCCCAGAGAGCAGGGGGGAGAGAAAGTGGCTTCAGAGGGAGAACAGGGCACAGAGCAGCTGCCCTGGCTGGAGGAGGCGCCCAGCTTGCCGCCCTGCACGCAGGTGTGCCCCAGGGGATGCAGGGTGGCCCAGTGACAGGCAGCCCCGTCCGTGGAGGCCTCGAGCGTGTTGCTGAGGGTGGGGCTAGGCAGGCCCGGCTGGTCCACGGCTCTGGGCAGGGCGCCCACAGTGAGTCCCAGGTGCCTCTAGGCAGGTAGATGTAAGGGGGGGGGGCTGGGGGGCTATCCCACGCCCCATGAGGGGTGTGTTTTGGGGCATTTTAATCTCAGCTGATGCCGAAATTAAGCAGGAAGGTAAAATCAGGTGCCGCTATACAGCTGTGTCAGAAGTGGGTACCCTTGGCCTGTCCCTCGGAGGGGCTATCTCCCTCAGGAGGGGGGGCATTAGGAACCAGCTGCCAGGGGAGGCTGAGGGGCTTCTGCCTGGGGGGCATGGTTGGAAGGGCTCCTGGATCCACCTGTGCCTGATGCCTCCTCTCTCACCTGTAGGCCCTCCCCAGTCACCTCCCCTGCTCTGAAACCCTACACCAGAACGGAAGGGCCACGAGCAAGTCCAGCGGCCAAGCTGTCACCGCTGGCATCTCCCCAAGCCCTTAATCCCCCTGCGAGGACTGAGCCACCAGCCCCCCTAAGCAGAGGCACCACCTCGCAGGCTTCCCCGCCACCCCAGAGCTCGCCCGTATCCTCGGGGGCTGGCAAGGCGGGTGCTGGCTCCAGGCTGAAGCCGGAGGTCCCACTGGCAAAGGGTAAGAGCTCCCCCCGATGCGGGGTGGGGTGGGGGAGCCCGGGTCTGCCTCTGCGCTCCCCGGACATCTGCCGGCTTCCGGCCTGGCTCCCAGGCTCCCGCTCCGCGTCCCCGTCACTCACGCTGCTCCACAGCACCCGCCGGCCCTCGCTCTCTCCCGGGTCCGCCTCACTCCAAGTTAGCGGTGGCAGACGCCCCTCGGTGTGGCGCGGCCAGACGGCCACCGCTCACGCACCCCGCCGTCCCAGCCCGTCAGCACCGTGTCCCCAGTGACGGTGTAGGCGGGCAGGCAGCTACCGTGCTCCTGCTCTGCCCCGGCCACGGGGTCACCGCCTCCCACGAGGCTCTACATCCACGGTTCCCGAGCATGTCTGTCCTTCCTGCACTGTTCCGATGATGGTGCCCTGTGCTCTGAGGGTCCCAAAGCCCCCTGGACACGGGGCCCCGCCTGGAGCCCGGAGCCCCCTCGGACCGCATCTCGTTTCATGGCCTCACTTTCCTGGGCTGCTCCTCACGCTTTTCTGTGGAACTACGGAGCTGGCTCTCTTCCGGGCGCCTGGACGTCTCTTAGTGCTGAGCAGTGAGCCGGGCTCAGAGAGTACCCCACGCAGAGGGTTTTGCCGAGCTCGCTCCTTTGGCTGAGCCCCCGTCATGAAAGCCACTCCGTTCTGAGCCAAGGGGGCCTGCCGACGGGCTGTCACGGCCTAGCCACACGTCCGGCAGACGCACAGCTCACTCGGCATCCGCGGGCTTCACCTGGCCACATCCTCACCCATTTGGAAGCAGGGGAAGTTGAGGCTCAGAGAGGGGAGCGAGTCCCCTGAGCACACACAGCACAGGTGGTCAGGCTTGAAGTCCTGAGCCCGATTCCCAGCCGGACCCCTTCCCGTGGGCCGGGCTGCTCTGTGTCCACCTGAGAGGGGACGGCTGCAGGCAGGTGGAGGCGGGGAGATCCAGCTTTTCCCAGCAGACCCCCCTTGCCCGGAACACCCCTCCCCCCCCGCCCATGACCTGTGTCCCTGCCCTCACCTAGGCCCCAGTGCCAGCCCCCAGGAAGGCCAGGAGGACGGGCCGGCAGGATGGAGGGCCCGCCTGAAGCCTGTGGAGAAGAAAAACCCTGCTGAGAGGTGAGGGGTGGGTGGGGCCTGAGCGGCGGCCTGTGGCCCAGGGCTAGCACCGGGCCTGGCACACGTCAGCAGACGCCTGCAGGTAAATGACGGCACATGGACCGACTGAGGCACCCGTGGGAGGGGTCTGTGCACAGCCGCCCGGACCTCTCTCCCGTAGCAGAAGCCAGTTCACAGCAGCCCGAGCAAGGAGGGGGCCGTCACACCGGCCTGCATTCCCTTCATGTAGCTGGAAGGTTGGGAGGGTGGGCAGCGGGATGACAGCCATGGGCTGGTGGGTGCCCACCAGGCCTGAGCCCGGAGCGGGGAAGGGGCTCGGTTAGGACGGGGAAGGGAGAGGCTGCCACAACCTTCCTTGAATGAGGCCACAGGTACCCTGGCCAGACCGTCACACGCGCCCACCCCGGGGGGCTGGACGCGCTGGTCCAGGCTCACCGTGCAGGGTGGTCGCCCCCCGCGTAGTACGATGCCCAAGGGCAGACAGCACACTTGGGGACCTGCCCCAGGGCGGGTGTCTGGGTCCCGGGGCGCATCAGCTGAGCACGTGCTCCCACCCACAGAGCTGGGTGCGTGTGTGAACACGCACCTGTGTTCTGGGGGTTCACAGCCGGTCGGGTGCCTGTGCCTGGAGCTGCGCCGTGGGCTCCATTCTGGCCTCCAGCGTGGGGGTTTGGGGGACGGCCCGTGCCCTCCTTGGCTGACCCCCTGCCCTCTGTCTAGGGGTCCGGAGTCGAAGGAGCCACGGATCCTGGGAGAGCCTAGGGCGGGCGAGGCACCCGGGAAGGTCCCTGGGAGCTCCGCGGGGCACGTCCACACCCCCCCGGCCCCTCTTGGGCCTGAGAGGACACGGGGCGCAGCGAGCCCTGGGCCCGGCCTCTCAGGTAATACTGGGCGGGAACCCGGCCCCGGGGTGCCCGAGGAGCTGGTGTTGGGGTGGCGGCCTATGCGTGCATTTACGCTTGCACACGTGTAAGCGTGGCTGTTCCCGCACGCTCAGCTGCCCCCGGATCCACATCCAGCCCCCACACCTCTTCCTGCGTGACCTGGAGCGGGTCTCCAGCCCCCTGGGCTCATCTGCCCCTGTGCTGTCGAGGGTACAGACCTCCCTCCCTGTGTGGACGTGGGCACGGGGCTGTGAGGACTGACCCCATGTTGGCCTATGGGGCCCCGGGTTGGGGAAGCGGTAGGGGGGAGGGCGACGAACCTGCTGGCTCGACAAGTGACCCTGTCCCCTGCCCTCGGGCAGCCGCATCCCCCTCCCTGTCCCCGGCCCCGACCCCGACCCACCGCAGGAAGCTGGCTGTCCCTGCCAGTCTGGACGTTTCTGGAGACTGGCTTTGTCCCGAGCCCCGGGAGCAGGAAGCCGCAGCCGGGAGCTGGAAGAAGGAGAAAGAGAAGCCCCCTGCTCAGGACGCACCAGGTCAGCCCCGAGACACCGGCCCCCATGCTGTCTGGCATGCAGAGGAAGGGGCTCATCTGAGGAGGGAGCGTCTGGTGGGGTTTGCAGGGTGACGAGCCCACGGGGCCCAGGACGGAGGGAAGGCAGCAGCCTGGGGCATGCCTGCAGCTCTGAGCAATGCGGGCGGGAGGGGCGGCCGGGAGCCTACGGGACCCGGGACCCAGCCCCCAGTGCTTCCCTGCCAGCGCCCACCGGACAGAGGCCCCGGCTCCTCCCGGCACCCGACTGGCCTGGCGATGATGGGGCGTTCGCTCTCGGCAGCTCGCCGGATGGGGTGTCCGGCTGCTGACCCGGGG